TGGGGTGTCACACAAGAAGTCAATAGACGCACCTTGCTGGGACTGCGCCGAAGTGGCAGGCGAGCCGCACGGTCGATTCTCGGCATAATTTTCGCTCAGTCCCGCTCGCACAACAGCACCTATGAAGCGATATCCTGGAAAACAAACAAACTGTCGTTTAACTGTCGTTTAACGATTAGGAGAGGTGGTTGGTTTGTGAAGTGGTGCGAAAGGGGGCTTGGGATGCACCAAGGGGCGTAGCCACTGGGGGATGGGGAGCACGTGCCCCCACAAATTCCTGGTGCCCCCCCCACTAAAGAAAAAAGGGATGAATGGATACTGAACAAGGCTAACAAAAGCTTGCCCTAAAAACTACACCATGGGTGCCCCCCATAAGATGCGGGTGCCCCCTTATACCCCCCCTGCTATCCTAGCCACGCCACTGGCTGCACCCCCCTGGATTCCCTTGGCCCCCTCCCCCCACCGCGTTCCCCTCCTTGTTCAGAGATTGAGAAGGAAAGGACCTGGTGGTATTCTGCCTTAGTTTGTTTTAAGTGTGGTTGAATCGAGTCCCCCCCCAAATAGTGCAAACCAAGTGCCACCTGTAAAATTAATCAGTTACATATGTATTCGACTGAAATGCTGTGACTGTATGGCCCACTCAACTAAGGGCGAACCAAGGTGCTAACATCCCCCCCAACAAAAAAAATTGTACAGATGTTCTCATATAACGATGTTCAAATTCAAAGCCAAGTATTACCGCAGCAGTTCAACCGGATCAACACTGTGACTTTCCCCAAGCAGTGTTCTTTTTGTAAGTCGATCTTCCACCAAGGATGCGGATCACCACCAACTCCTGAAGGACAAAAGAAAAAGAAACAATATAAATTTTATGATGCATTTTTGCGTTGGGAAGATGTTAATTATATAACGGGTTTTGCCCCTACCCATATACGTTGGGTAAGGGCAAAACCCGTTATATAAGTTAACATCTCCACAACGCAAAAATACATCTTGAAAATAGTTCGCGGTACCCGCTGCTTCACTTGACTCGGACCGGCCAGCCGACCCCGGCAAGCTCAGTGGTCGAGTAGTTAAGACGTCTGCACTAGTAAGCAGTAGGGCGTGGGTTCGAGTCCCACCCGAGTAAGCTTGTGACTTTTTTCGCAAGCTCTTGGACAAGCACTGAGCATACAGTGTTTATTAAAAAATACGTTGGGTAAGGGCAAAACCCGTTATATAAAATAAATTTTATGAGTTTCCGTTTACTAGGTGGCGAGTGTGTATTTTTGTTACTAATTTTAAGCTTCGATTGTCACATAATGGGATGTAGTGAAAGTGCTTGTGGTCATGGACGTCGTGGGGGCTTGAAAATTGAAAAACGCCTATGAAAGGGGAAATGACAAGAAAACACGATATGATATACCTCGGAATTCAGTTTGCTGTTGATCAGTGTTTTGCCTTAACTCCTGCCCCCTGAAAAAAAAGTCCTGGCAAGGGTTATGCTTGTTTGGGTTGAAAATGATGATATTGTTGATGGCTAGGGAGGCCTCATGAAAGAAGATGACATTACTGATGGTAATGAATGACGATAACAGTGTGGAAGTAGTAATTGAGGACGTTCGTAGGAATGACGTCAGTACAAGCGACCGATTTGTTTTATGTAAATCAAGATTCTCGAGATAATCACGGTTTCTCAATTAAGGATCTAGGACCAACTTTCAATTTGTAATTTGTTTATGTAACTTTTTAAGGTCTTTCTGATTGATTTGGAGGCTTATTGCGCAGTTTTGGAAGGGAAACTATGAAATGAACAAAAATCGCTTTTCTTTATAAAAAAATAATTGGGGGGGGCATGGCCAACCTTACCCCTCCCTGGATCCCTACTACAGAGCTCACTTACTGGTGTGTGCGAACGAGTTTCGGTCGCCGTCGATAGCCTCGTGTGAATGATAGGAACTGCTATATGTCGTGCTCTGCCATGTCGGCTTTCCGCTTACTAGAACGGCTGTAACATATGGAAGTATTTCAGACAGTCTACCCAATGGCAAAAAATGTTCGAAGAGAACAAGGAAGAATGGAATGCTTGGGGTATTAACAATATATGAAACAGGAAGCAAAACAGCATATTCGAAAGAACTATTGAAGGAAAGGAGAGAAATTAAACAAATCTTAACTATACGTGCAGTCATTATCTGGGTCGATTTTAAGTAATTAGGTTAATGCATTGGCAAGAAAGGGATACTTATGAATATTCTGGACAAAAATGGAGAAGTTAGAATTGATGTGAAAAACAATTTATAGAGTAGGAATAAAACAAAACTCCGCATTCTACATCCTTTAAGTGTGCACATTTCGTTTGTCCATGGTGATCGTCATCAACTATTAAAGCATAGAAAGGCGAGCGCTACAGCGAAAACGCGTCCATACTGCACTTGTTCAAAAAGTCAACAATACACCTCAGGAAATTACCAAAATGTCATTTTTGATAGTGTTCACTGTTGGACAAAGTATCGGACATGCAAAATCTGACAGATGTGGAAAAGTTCCTGGATCCTCCCCGGAGATCATTAGCTTGTTAACAGCACAGCTCATAACCCAAGATGCGTACAACGGTTAAAATATTCGAGAATATTACAGTGCCTGGGGCTGAGGCAGATTGTGACTCGGTCTCCACGTCATTTAAGAAAAGAGATTAAAACGTCTGAGCCGTGATTTATACCCTAAAAACTTTTGCAAAGGTGTATAAAGGTCATTATAGGAAGATTACTCACTCCTTTTTGTTCTGAAACCTTCAAAAATCCTACAAATTCTTCAACACAAAACTGGCTCCATAACTTTGTAAATATCACTGCATGTATGTAACAGTTGAATTTTCAATGTTAAAGAGAATTCGTGCTTAATATGATTGTGTCAGGAGGGTACGATCCAGTGGCACCTCCATTTAATGGAGACAGAACGATTACTTTACGGAGGAAAGAAAAATTACACTCGCTATACAGGATAACAATCCCCATTTTCCCCAATCTTGGATACAATGGATACATGAAAAGTGTGAGCATATTTCCGACCCAGCGAGCATTGACATAATTGTGTCAAATCTGTTGTATTTTGAACGATTTTATACCAAAGAAAGACAGGATTGACAAAATCTCCATCTCGGACAGTTTTGCTGTTGACAGGTTGACTTGACAGGTTATCTCTTTTCCAACTTTCAGGATGACATTGGTGTAAGGAGGGGGAATCCATCACCCTGTGTCCTCCCCCCTTAAAATTTGGAAATTTATGCACACAGCTTGTTTAAAAACAACAGTTGATTTGCTGTCAGTTCCTCGTTGAAAAATTGGTGTTTTCCTCCATGGTCCCCCTTTGAAATTTGCCATTTGAACAAGTGTTCAAATGTGGAAGCTGTCTTGCACTCTCTTTTCATGTATCCATTGTATCCAAGATTAGAGAAAATGGGGATTGTTATCCTGTACAGCGAGTGTAATTTTTCCAAAATTTCCAAAGAGTGCCGTTTAAAAAATAACGATAGAAAAGCATTTTTTGTGGTCTATTTTATATCCCGACCTTGAAAAAATCATGTGACGAGCCTCACTCTATGTAGCCTCACCCCTCAGAAAGGACAAGAAACGTTACATAAAAACATTTCCACACTGTTTACCCTTATTCCCCTCCCCCGAAAATTTGGTTTTCAATCCGTCCTTGCCGCGGAATTCGCCCTACAACGTCTTTCGATACCATAAGCCACCACACCCATGGCTGACTGGACTAATTTTACTGAACGAAAGGAATGAACTTACCTTTAAAGCCACCGTAAACAGGCTGAGTGCAGAAAAACTGGATTATCAGGAATAGGGTATAAAAATCCTTGGAAAAAGCACATAACCGCAGAAAATAACTTTCAGCCTGTTTCATCTTTAAAATGAATTTTACCCTTCCTTAGTATGGCTGTAAGATAAATAAAGGAAAACTGACATTGAAAACCACTCTCAGACTATCGTAGAATGCAATTATGCCGACCAGAAATAGGATTAATTATTCATAAAATTTCTCGCTCTGCTCCAGTTGATTATGAGCTTAACATGTTGCCCAGGCAACAAACGACTTGTTGCTCAATTTTGAGCCTAGTGAATATTTGATTGAATATGAACTATCGTGCGATAAAAACAATAAAATAATGCGGTAGTTTGGCTGCCCAAATGACATCTTACTGCTCTTTTTCATTAAGGGCACGATATTTCTCAACAGTGCAAGACGGTCTATCGTGGCTAAAATATAACTCGATGGCGAGCTCATTCAATTCGGAAAAAATGGAGAAATCAATTATTCGACTCAACGATCAAGGTCAAGCTCAAAAGCATGCGCTTTCACTAACGCAGAGGACGTTCGAGGTTAAGTCCAGTTTTCAGGGAGTCAACATGCAAATTTCTCCCCTACAAGTTTGTGGCAATTATACTGACACTCAGTCATTATTTATCTTCCGGTTGGCCCACGGTCAGCTGAACGTGTTGACAGTGGCCTAATGTGAAATTTCTAAGTTAAGGTGCAAACAATTTCCAGTGTAGCACTGAAAACATATTAATTTCAATGTAGCTTGATTGGGAGACTTAGTGGTTTTTGTTCTCTACACGTAATTCACGTGTTCGGAGACGTTGCTTGTTTCGTTCCCAAACTGGCAGATGATCGATCAACCAATGAGAGAAGTCAAAACTTGGCCAATTATGTTACTCCAAGAGCCTCGCCGATGGATTTTAACTGAAATTTACAGATAAAGTACATCTATCTAACGGCTTGTTACCAAGTCTAGAGCATAGGCAAAGTACACAGAGAAAGTTGATGCCATAAATGGGCCAGTTCGGTATTTCACAAAAGTAAGGTCGGGAACGACGGGACGTCCGGGAAACTTCGACCAGTGTTTTTATTGAAGACGTCAGTCAGCGGCAGTGATTTCCGTTTTTTAATGCAAAGCACCCTTGCGCAACTATTTTGACTTTAAATGCCCAGCAGGTCTAATGATTGAGTAGTTAGACTACGCATTATGCACGATTCGCTATCAAGCACTTGCGTCTTGAGCCCAGACTAAAGTTGGTCACGCGTCACGCTTGACCTACTTTAGAGGATTTAAACCGCCTGCTATCTGTGTACCGAGGCGACCCGAATATTGTGTGAAAAATGATGTTCATCAACAGTGTCGTCTGCTTCCTTGCGCTTATCTTTGTCAAATGACAAAACGTTAATGGCTCTTTTTTTTTTGTGGGCCACCCATAATATGTTCCTGATTATTTTGCATTGACGTCACAATAATAATAATAAAACATGTGTATCTTGTTTCCTCTATTCTTGACTTGTCTATGGAAATAGTGTATAGGCACACACACCAGCTTACCGTGTTTAAAATGAATTTACGGAAAATTTTGACCTCCGTAGGCCTACTAAAAAGGGGGACCTGTATGAAAGAGCGCTATTCAAAGCACTGCGTAAAAGGTGCTTCGTTTATACAGGACCTACTCATGCAAATAGCCACGATAAAAGAGTGCTTCGAAAATGTGGGTCTCTTCTAGGGTATCCGCAAAGAGCCTAATTTGGGTTCGTTGCCAAGAAAATGAATGATCATGGTCTGATTACAATAAACGAGTTTCCTCTCAACATTCTGGTTTTATTTACAACAGGGAGACAAGTTCTAAAGACTTATTGTGAATTATGTCATTAAAGTTCACTTATCTTAAGTAGTATTTTATCTACACTGATGAAAGCCTGTACATAAAAAAGCTTTCTATCATACTGGTTTGATGGTTGTTGTTTGGTATAACGACATGAATTTTTAATCTTATTCCAGAGGCAGTTGTGTCGTAGATAAGTCTGTCTTCAGCTACGTCATAACCCCAGCCTTGCACTGCACTCGCGATCAGGGCCAGCCGGAATAGGACTATTCCGAAAGCCAATGGCATGTGTCTCGGGCGAGGCTTACACCAATGAAAGCCCTTCACGAACACCTGCCGAGAAAAATGCTTACGTGCCTTTTTTCTTTGCACGTACTAGGCCTATGCGCTATGGCGTGCAAAGTGAACATATAATCCGTGTTTACAGATAACTATTCCTACGATAGAGACATCTCGAAAGAGCCTGAAAGTAGTCACGCAGCGAGCCTCCGGAACCCTCGCGCGGTCCTCCTATGGGGCTTTTGCGTTGGGTCGTCCTATCATGTTCGATAATTTTTGGAAGAATAATTCCTAACCGAAACCACCCCATGAAACATTCATGTCGGAATTTTACCTTTGTCTTCCTCAAGTGATATTTAGGAAAAGTTACGTTGAGATTTAAAAAAAAAACGAATTTTCTCAAACACCTTTCACGTCCGGGGATATCGTACCTTGGTCTCCATGTTCATGCACGTTTGTTTTCACTGTCCGTGCGTATACGTGAAAACGATTGTACAACGTTGCAAAGATTTACCTACTTGCAGTCGATGGGTTTCAGATTCCGTTGAGTTGATATCATACAGTTGATGTCAGCAACGGTTAGATAAAAGATTAGAATCTTTCGTAATCTTAATAGAATATTGCTTCAGGTTTACTACTTATAAATTATAAGATATCTAAATATTTTGATCTTTTTTTATTTTGGTTTTTACCGACGGACTACCCAACCGTAAATATTCAACTGTGTACGAGACTGGCGCATTGCACTGTTTTCATGTATTTTAGAGTTTTGGAAATGATGGGTCAATTTTTGGCAGGATTTTTCGCTTTTAGGTCAGACGATCTTTTAGTTTCTATACATTGATATACATGTACTAGCAAATATTTTCCAAAGCCCCTTTTCCGAGTTGGATTTTTTAAGAAGTAACTGAAAAAATATATTACAAATTCTAAAATCTTTGCAGGTTGTTTTTTCTATCCAAGGGTTCTGGAAGCCGCCATCAGGGGTCAACTTTCAGGCTCTTTTCCTTATAGAGACGTTTCTATTCTTAATAGAGATATGCTTCTGATCCCGCACAGATATCCCTATTATGTTTCCGGTCCCGCACACTGGGTCTACAGTCATTGTAACGTCACGCACAAAGTTTCACAGAACCTCAAGATAGCAGATTTTTAAACCGAAAACGTCGAGGGTGACGTGCTGACCTCGGAAGCGGGTTACGTAAGAGGGATATCTCTATCGACAATAAAGATAGCTCTATTCGGGGAAAAAATGTTAAATTGGCACGTCAAGGTATAGAGGTATCTGTATACGCGGGTTAAATGTTAACTTTGCACGCCATATTTAATGTGATGTCAATTTTGACCTTTTTGCTTCTGTCTCTTGAAAAATGAACATGAATTGCTGCTGGGGCGGCGAGGAAATTTGTAAAATTTTGCATCCGTCTGATGACGACCACAATCACAATGAACTAAGGACGACCCGGGGAAAGGGATCACACCCTGGGCGTCGTTCTTCGAGGGACCAGTTTTCCTGGAAATATTTCGTGGGGAGAAGCATAGAAATCATCTTCGAAATGATAAACAATTATTGGTGGGAGAGGATCAATTTTGAGGATTCGTTTTCAAGCAAGTCGTGATTCTCATTCCCTTATTTCGTCATTTTTTTCACTTCTTTCGTTCATTCGTCTTTTTACGGGGGGGGGGCACTGAACAACCCCCCCCCTTACTACCATGACTACCAATCCATTATGGCCGGGGTGCTCGTCCACACACCAACCTCCACAAATCATTAATTGTACACGTATATACCCGTAATATTTTTCAAGTGAACGATACTTTCCACTTATACTGACTTATCAGTTTTTTCCTGACGCATTTTTAACAATCTTTCAAATATTAAATGTTTTGATTTAAGATAATGAGCAAGGGTTAAATAAATTGAGGTCAGCTCACACTAATGAGGCATTAATACTTTGCGTAATAACATCAAGAGAAGAACATTCTGCACATAAATGTCCACATACTATTAGCGTGTAAATTTTCATATCTGCAATTTTTGATTTAATACGGCCGTTTCACAATAGTGCGCCACCAAGAGTTTGCAACGCGTTAGCCAATCACAACGCTCGAAATTTGTCAACCCTTTCTAAACACGCATTCTGTCGACAACTTTCGCACATTGTGATTGGCCAACGTGTGGCAAACTCTTGGTGGCGCACTATTGTGAAACGGCTGTATTGATGTTCACAATGCAAGATATCAATTAGTCATTCAAAATACGAATAAAATGTGAGTTATCGTTTCAATCCACCCTTGTTTCTATGTTTAAATGAATCACTTTCATGAGTTCAGTCATTCAGTTCGATAGACGATGGAGTCACTGTAAGGGCCATGNTCGTAAATTGCTTCCAAACGCGGAGCTGAAGTGGCGTGAAGTCAAAGAGGTCGCACTCGGGCTGGATGTTGCAGTATCTCCACCACACACTCAGAAGTGCAGTCGTGACGAATCGCTAATATTCCACGATCATGCCGTGAATCAAAGTATATCGCCTGATTCTTTATACAAGAAACTCAAAGAATTCCCTTTTAATGTCTAGCGTGATTTTGACTTGTTTGGCAATTAAAATTGTGAACACTAATAAAGACCACAACGTATAACTTTTATTTTACAGAATAAAAGATCAGTAGAAAGCGTTTGGATGAAGAATTTGAATGACTCTGTCACCGAAATGGAATGACAAAACAAAGTTGCTTTTTCAATATCTCCCTGACCGGCTACATGCAAAAGACAAAATTGCTGAAGAATTGCATGGAAAATTGAAATTCTCCGATCGTGAATTACCCTTAAAACAAAATCAAACCTAGAGCACAACCTCAAAACCAAAAACCTGAAGTAAATACTGAGACGAGATCGAAGTATCTTTCCCTGAAATACGAATGATAACCGTTGCAGACGAGTACTTTTCGAATAAATGTACTTGACCAAATATTGAGCTGGTCATTGCAAACACGGTGAGAGAAAAACTGCCAGTGTAGACTGAAAATAGCATTGTTAGTGATTCTAAATAAACCATAAGTTTTCTTTTTTAATAGGTCTACAAGGAGGAGATAAGAGAGGGGTTGGTTCTAATTTCAATTTGTAGCGGGGTTTACATTCAGTCATGCGGAACGGCTCCATATAGTTTATGCGTCAGGCATGTAATTCCTTTGAAGTGTACGCTGATGGAGTGGGGGGGGTACTGTATACAACCCGATAAAGCCAAAGCACTTAATTCGCTTTTGCGAACTTGAAAAAAAAGACCGGCTTATTTTACGTGTGAAATAGGCCTACAGCTGCTTCAGTTGTGTGCTGCGGATACGCTGCCTGTTGAATAGTGGCGTAAATTTGTGCCAGACGATGGGGGGGGGGCTTTCCCGGCCATGAAAATTTGAAAAGCGGAGGCTGGGGGTGGGGGGTAGATTTAAAGCATAAATCTATTATAGAGGTCGACGTTCATAATACTCATGCCCATCTGTAATATGTAGGCCTATTCAGAATGGCATATTTGTGGCTTTTAAGAATTGTTTTCCCCTTTTTGAGTGATATTGAATGAAGTTTAGTCGTTCCACTTTAATTTTTGCTCACCACAAAATGGGGGGGGGATGATTCAATAGCCCCCCCACCTCAAAAAGTTTGTGTGGGGATTATACTTCCCCTCGATTTATGCCCATGCTATTGAATCTGCTGATTGTGTCTATCCTCTCAATTGCAGGCAAACCGGATTGGAAAAAAGTATCAGAAATAAACTAATTTCTCCTGTGGAAGTAGAAGTGCATTTTCGGCTGAAAGGACAAACATAACACAACCTTCAGGGCTGCTCTGCCTCATGTCTGCGCAGGGCATTTACAATGTCGAAATTCTATTTCCAGCAGGAGGATGTTGAGGAGAAACTCAACGTTCGTGACCGTACGGCGCGGCACGACTTAAAACCACCCAGTCTGGCCGCCATCGAGTAGTCAGGATTTCACTGTCACCCGGTGCTGAAGTCAAGTTGCAGCAGTGAGGGGTTGGCGATGCCAATTCCAAACCGACCAAACCTGTCTAGGTACGTGGCCGCCGCGCACCAGCAAGATCAAGTTAAAACGAATGCCTTTCAACTTCAAGCTGAGTGTGCGGCAATCCATGGCCACTAAATTTACGCAAATGTTCCCAATGAAAGCAAGCACACTTAAACAAATCGGGAAATGGATCCATGTTTGTTTGTGTTTTCCCCAGGAGTGTACCCTTGAGAGAACCTCAAACCCCGCCATCTGGACAATTGGGGCTGGCAATGCAATGCAAAGTTGTGATTTTTTCAACTAAGCCTGAAGATCACTTCTCAGTTTTTGCTTTTGATTCATTTTGGATTTCGATGAAGCAACTGAAATGTCTCCCCTTCTTTCAAATTAACTCAAGTTTCTTAATCATCAAACCTCCTTCCATCTTTATAAAAAATGAAACGGTTGACGTTCATTCCCATACGGCCGTGTCCAGATTAGCTTGAATTCAATGAGAGGAAGAGCTCAAGTTATAATGTGGCGATAGTGACAGAAAAAGAACTGCATTTGTGAACTTGAATTGGGAAAAAAGTAAAAGTGTGGAGTCCAATCCGCCCGGGCCTGTCGTCACGGTGTCCCGCCGCTTTTCCCGGTAAGATTGAACGAAGAGTAGCTGACCTGGGCTTGACCCCGCTGGAATTGTAACAGCCTGAATAAAGGAATGCGTCCCCTCTGCGCGCTACGCTGCTCCTTTATGCCAATCGTACTGCCGCTAATTTCACATACATGTACATGTACGTTGTATAGCCTGCAGACAAAATGGCGCAAGCTCTATTTGATGCGTTGTCCGGTAAGATTTATATTCATTATTTGGAGCTTTCTGGAGCTTCCTTAACTCCATATATTGTTGTAACACAATCTTGCACTAATTATTTGAGGGTTTGAGAGTAGGGGTGTTTTGAATTTTTCTGAAAATTGAAGCTTATTCACGTTCCTGCTTCGCCTGAAATTGACAAAGCAAATCGCCAATCGCCTGCAGTTTCTGAACAAAAAATTGACAAGTCTGCGGTCCTGATCGCTCAATCTTTTTCACATTTTCGTCCTTTTGCTGAGACAGAGTTAACATCTTGACGGTCTGGAGCCTAGTATGGTGATTGAGGGTAATTTTAGTGGACAACTTGTCTTAAAATGGTCGAATTATGAGTGGACAATAAGGGTAAAAATTGTGTGGATTGTTGATGGAACAGCGGATATTCCAGATCTAGCGGGTGTGAAGCCATATTGGTGGAAAAGCGTTGAGGAATAGCCGTTTTCGAGAACCGGGCTGTTCCATTTAGGCGGATGCACCGTGAAGATTGCTAGCTCACGGATCTTTGAGTGAAACATCCTAAGGCAAAGCTACAAATGAATGAACTAAGCCTACTGGGGAATTCATATACATTTTGTGTGATCAGTACATTATTATCACAGCCATGATGTTTTAATTTCTTGTTTTCATAGGATTCAAGGTTTTTTGTTCTTGATTAATTCCTTGTGTTTTCTTCAACTTTTAACACTCTATGCTGTAGTCGATGCCCTTTTTTGGGATATGCATTGCAGGAAACATTTATTTTCTTCTTTTTCCTCGATTAAGGGTCAAATACCGAGCCTGATAAGCGCCACAAACATGTTAGCTAAATTTTCGGCACTGGGATCAAGTTCAAACTCTTGTTCCTCCAACAGCTTTGAGTTTGTTGAGTTTGCATTTGAAAGATGAGACCATTGAAAAAACCCCAAAAAGCTCAGAAGAACTGTAATAAATTCAGGGCACATGCATATTCATTAGTTCACAGAACTAGCTGCAAATCAAAATTACAAGTATAATTACGTTCTGAAATAGTTTTATATCAGTGTTTCCATTACTTAAAAATACTAATGTGTTGGTATTTTTATTTAGATGTGTTGACAAATGTAGCATAATATTTAATCATAAATGATACGTAATTCCATTTCAGTTTTGAAGGGTACATGTACATGTAGTTTTAGGTGTAGGTACAACTTTAGCGCTTACCTTAACTCTAACAATCCCAAATCCTCTAATTTCAATACGATTTTACGTACACCTCAGGGGGTTAGGGTTAAGTTCTAATATACATGTACATGTACTTAATTTTCACACTGATTTTTCAATTTTCAAACTTCTTCACGTCATTCTTCATTTTCTCAATATAAACTCATCTTGTATTGCCAAGATAGCCCGATTACTACCTGAAATATGCACCTCTTGAACTTGAGTTTAAGTTGATTGACTTTAATCCAATATTTCCCAGGGTACAGTAAATTGCCCCCAGAAATAAAAACATCTGAAAGAAAAGTCTGACAATTGAACTTTCATTGTGTACCTTCATCTTTTGGTAGGTATGGACAACCAGGCTGCAGTTCTGGCTGTGCAGTCTCTAGGATTACTCGAAGGACAGACTGGCACCATCCAGGACCCAAACCCAACAGGTGAGCCGACATTTGAATACTAGTTGAGGCAAAACATCCAATCTTGCCTTTAAACCCATAGTCAAAGGATCAAATGGAAGAATGAACACATTGTTTGTCTAAAAATGTATAAACCTGAACCAGGGCTTTCTTGGGATGTTCCCAGGTTTTGAAGGGAAGGTAATGTAAGTTGTGAACCTTCTGTTTTTCCCTCCCATCCACACTTTTACACCAGAGGTGAGGAGGGAGCAACATCAAATGGATATAAATGATGGCGTGGGTAGTTTTCTTTCGTCGGTATTCTTTGTTTTGAGCACAGGATTGGTGCCTCATTAGATTTGTTATCACATTTAAGTTTGCTATTTCCTTCCTGGAGGAGCTTTGTAAGTAAGTTTGATTTATTTATGAAACCATCTAGGTATTGAAGAGGATGAGTTCAAGTGTGGGCGATGCAAGAAGAATTTCTCCTCCCTGACAAATTTCATGAATCACAAGCGTGAGCAATGCATGCCACCTAACCTCACCCTGAATGTCAGCCGCTCGCAGGCCAGTAACAGTGCCTTCACCGCCACCCTCCAGCCTAACCGAGGCTTATCTTTCGGCAACATGGGTAACTCCACCCTGGCTCAGGTGTCCCCTAGCGTCCTGAACGAGGAGGTCCTGATCTCGTCCTTTCCCAGCGTGGACCAGTTCTCCAACTCGGTTCTGCAGAGCACCCCTATTCAGTCCCTGACAGGGTCCTACATGTCGCCCCAATCACAGATCCTGACCACGGTCACCAGCGCTCAGCAAACCTACAGCCTGGCCATGACCGGCACCACCATCAACAACAACAACAACACTACCCTGGGGGGAATCACTCTCCAACCCCAGACGCAGATCAACGGCAGCATGATGCGACCCACCAGTGTCAACACCCAGTCCACCTTATCGCTCTCCGATGCTGGGTTGACCCAGGAGTTGTTGAACAACAGCACCACCCCCACTCTCCAAGTCACCCAAGGTCAGCAGACGACTACCATCAACATCATGCAGCCCACTGCTACCCAACAAGTCACCACCCGCCGCCGTAGATCAGCCGCAACCGGCACCGAGACGACCAAGAAGCAACAGCAGCGGAAGAAGTGCAACTACTGCGATAAGACATTCACCAAGAACTTTGACCTGCAGCAGCACGTCAGGAGCCACACTGGGGAGAAGCCCTTCCAGTGTATTGTCTGTGGTAGAGCTTTCGCCCAGAAGTCTAATGTCAAGAAACATATGCAGACGCACAAGGTTTGGCCTGGAGGGAGAGGAGCCACTCTTCCTAAGCAGGTTGGTTTGTGTGCTCAATTTGCCTCAACCCAAACAAGTGCTCCATCTAGTCCCTCATGGGGCAAGTTGAAGTGACAACCATTTGCCGACCACTGATCAAGTTTTCCCTGGTAACTTGCATACAATATACATTGTAGGTACCGGGCAAAATGGACTAGTGTTTGCCAAATGGTCATCACGTCAAACATGCCTAAAGATACATATATGCTTACGCCACAGGATAATCCAGCCCAGGTGAACTGTTGATATACTCAGTTTCTGTAGATAAAGTTTTACACAGAAGCGCACACACTCCAAATTTGGTCAGTTGCATGCTGCAAATCAGAACAGTACAACTATTGTGCTACGTAAGCATTGACAATGCATGCTATCCACAGCATTGCTGATATGGTGTGGTGATGTCATCTTGAGGTCATATTATAACTTGCAGAGTGACAATGCATAACAAATGGTAACCGTCACCACACCACCGCTTGATACAGGTTGATATAAGTCTCAATGCAGTGGCAAAATTTAATGGGGTATACACGTATGCACTATAAATGTAGCAAACCCCAAAGTGATACACACGCACTGCTTTCGTGAAGTCAAGAGTTTTTGTTGTGAAGAGTCACATGCAGAGATACATTCTGAAAGAATTACATTTGACAGGTTTGCCCTTTGCTGTGAAGTTGTTGCCTGTGTTTTTCTGACAGCCAATAACCAAGCTTCCCAATGTGCATCAGGCTACAGATGATGCAAACCATGACAAGGAGATGGAGCTTTCTGGACAAGAGGACGATGGTAGGATTCAGCTTGGTTTATTGCTTAGATCAAACCAAGAGTTCCCTCACGATGTCCGTGCATAGCGTGGTTATGTAATAGAGAGTAAAAGGCTTTGACCCCCTCCCCAACAAAAAAAACATTCTGTCGAGGACCATGTATTGTGCAGCAATTTCTCAAACCCCTTTCCATCCATTATACTATTTGAGGTATAGTGGACACAATAGGAGAGCACTATTTGCTTTGGGTAAATCCTTTTTGTATTTACTCCAAATTTACCTACTTCAAATGGCGCCCTCCTCTTGTGTCCGTTGTGCTTCAGAAAAGCTAATTGGTGTCTGCAGCATGACGAGTTGATTTTACTCCTTGTGCAGTTCACTATCTGTTTCGAGGCACTTAATCAAAATTAATCCTTCTTCAAATTATTGCACAGAGTGCGGCAATACTCGCATCGCAAGGACTGAAGACGGGGAGGAGTTACTGATTGACAGCTCCTACGTTTGCCAGTACTGCGGGAAGAAGTTCAAGACATACTATCAGCTGAAAACACACATGACGATACATAAGAGCGAGCAGGTAAGCTCATGCCAGCCTTTGACCATAGTTCCCACTTGATATTATGAAATTGGAATTTCAGGTCAAATACCCTGTGAAAACTATTTCTGACTTCTTTGAAAAGGTCATGAAAGTGCCTAGCCGCACGCAAAAGCTCACTTAGTTTACACAGGCTTTGAGAAAAACTTTTTGTACTTCTGTAAATTTGGAGATTGTTGAAATGCATCTGAAAGAGTCACTTCATCAAATCAAGGATTCTTTATTTCTTCCTGTTAAAATTATAAAAAAATTTGGCTGTAGTCAAAGTTCTGTATAGGAATTGGAGTGATTAATTTACACTACATGCATGTCTTTGTCAGGTCTACAAGTGTGTGCTGAAATCCTGTTGTACAACCTTCAAGGATTTAGATGCCTTCTTGGAACACACCAAAGCTCACGAGAGTGAGATGTCATATCGCTGCCATTTGTGCAGCAAACATTTCCCCTCCCTCTACGAGCTAGGACTGCACCAGTATTCACACAGTCTTTACCCCAACCAAGGGCCAAGAGCACACCAGAAGTAAGTCTATTTATTGCCAGTGAATTGAACATTTCATTTCAATTGAAGAAGAAAACCTGTTTTTAATCTTATGTTCAGTTTCCACCTGTGCATTATTTTTGCAGGTATTTTGCAAATATTTTGAAAGTGTCAGCATTTTAAAAACAGCACCCCACCTTTCTTGGGGGGAACATGAGGATTGTTTCGCTGATGGAAAAAGTAGAAAACTCTTTTTTAAAAATTTTTTTGGGTCCCTGTTGACCCAAGTCCTGGATGTACCACTGTCTGGTAGTTAGATCTGGCAACTCCAGATTGTAGGGTAACGGTTTTTAATCCTGCTATGCCATTACCTTGAGCAAGTCACTTTAACCCCTACTTGCCTCCCGCCTCCCAGGAGTGTAAATGGGCTCCTGTGAGGACAGAGGGGTTTACTGTAGTTGATCAGTCTGGTAGTGCCTGAAATGGACATGGTTTCATTGATGGTTGTAAACTCCCTTGGAGGTGGAGTTGGTTCAGTGGAATGTTTCTTGTCCCATTGAATAGGGATAGTATAGCAGTGTGAGCACTGGAGGCGTTGTATTATCACGTCATTATTATGATTATTTGTTCTACTTATAGGGAGTACCGCTGTCAGAAGTGCATGAGTCGTTATTCAACTCCTGAAGCACTGGAGCACCACTTAGCCACGACCAACCACCATTACAGCTGCCCCCACTGCAAAAAGGTCTTCCCCTGCGAGCGCTACCTCCGCCGGCACCTCCCAACCCACAGTGCCCACGGCCAGTTCACTTGCCACATCTGCCAGAAGTCCTTCAAGACAGACCACTACCTCAAGTCGCACATGCTGATCCACAGTGGCGACAAGCCCTTCAAGTGCGACACCTGTGGTAAGGCCTTCAACCGTCCGGACAAACTCAAGAGGCATCACCTGACCCACGACCCCGTCAAGAAGCTCAAGTGCCCCTTCCGCTCGCTGACGGGCTGCGACAAGATGTTCAACCGGCCAGACAAGCTCAAGGCGCACATCATCTCACACAGCGGCATCAAGCCCTTCAAGTGCCCGCAGTGTTTCAAGTGCTTCAGCCGGCGGCCTAACCTGGCTGAGCACATGCGCATCCACACGGACGACTACCAGATCCGATGCAAGGTCTGCAACAAGGGATTCGCTCGTGAGAAGTACAAGAAGGCCCACAACTGTCCGAGATGGGCGCAGACAAGAGAAGCCATGAAGTCAAACGCTGAGGCTGATCAATTTGGTACCCCATCAATCCTATCTAACGATGAACAAGACAATGAAGCATCCAAGGCAGACAGTACAAATGCCATGGCAGAGTCTGGGGAAGGCATAACCTGTACGGAATCAACTAGCGGCGAGAAAACGAACAGGGATTCAGAGGAAGTCTTGTACCCAATCAGCATAACAAAAACAAGACAGGTCAGACTTAGGCATTCTGGTTTCTCCAAGAAAGTCCACATGCTGGAAGATTCTGTACCCAGGGTAACGCAGACCAGTAGGAGAGGTCGGGGAGGAACAAAAGGCCGGCCACGACGAACCACCCCGAAGAAGAAACTCCCCAATCGATCCATGGAGGATATCGAGAGAGATCTGGAGGCGATAAAGACAGGTCTTCTAGAGCAACAGCGCAAAGAAATGGAAATGGAGAGACATAGAGACCAACAGGAGCAGCAGAATGCGGGCGACGACAGCGGGATACTGTCAGAAGGGTCTGGGATGATCACAATCATGGTCGGTGGAGATCAGGATGGGGTCGGCGTGTCCGCATCATCCACAAACGCCATTAACTTAAAGCAGCTTCAACAGCAGCCCACCATCAACTCAACCGCCATAGCTCTCCTCAACATGGGGCAGATGTCAGCCTAAAAGAACAAGACCGTGGGCTATGATTGAGATGCCCTTTTGGGTTGGCATTTGTAGATTTAAAACAGTTTTGAATAAATGTGAGCAAAACTTTCAGCTTTGATATTAAATATCAATTGTAAATTCCTATCAAAAACATGCAAGTTTGGAAAACCATTATCTTCCCATAAAACTATGATTGTTGCACCGACTGATGTTGGATTCCCTTTATGTATTGTGGATTTGTACATTTATGTACAACTTCTGCACAATTTAAGTGTCAAAACGAATTCTAGAAGGCAACCCTGAGGTGGATTTGAGAATTGTTTGAAATGTTCATTGTTTACAGAATTTTCAAATTTTAAAAATCTAGTAAGTGTGAAAACTACATGCAGTCTAGTATCTTGTCTTTCCATGCAGAAATGGTTAATTCTTTGGGTATTTTGAGTATCAGAGGAGAGTTTTGTCATGTGATTAATATCATACATCCCAGGGGTAGACTAACATCAAACATTTTTACTGACCATTGCCTGTAAGCCCATCATTTGCCTACTTGTAGCAATATACACGCACTTGTCAAAATAAATTGTCACCCAAAGTCATTTAATAACATTTAAGACACAGCTGTGTGTCAAGAGCATTGGCAATTTGTTTCATTTGGCACCCTGTCTGGCACTATTTATCTCTTCAAACTTTATGTCCTCATAACATGGTCCTCCTAAAGACTTCCTACAAGCATAGGACTTGCCCCTCATCCCTGATTCAGACAAGCCAATCTCATGTTATCAGAACTGAAACCATAAAAACATTTCCGTTTGAAAAGATTGGATTGAATACTCCTTTTTGCCGTTTGAGTCTTCAGATTGTTCACAATTTCATTTGTACCAGTTGCTAACTGTCAATGTATACTGTGGATACTGAATTCATATTAAAAATTTGAAGGAAAAAAATTCCAATTGTATGTTGATACACTCTGGGCCTTCCCCGAAAAGAGAGAAAAACTTCGATGTAAACAATGAAGCAGGCCAATTTATTCTGGTTTACTTTCACTGACACCAAATACCCCAGTAATAAAATTATCTTAAAAATTGTGTCATGTTTGCGCATGTGTAGTTTTAAGTTCAGTACATTTCCAAGACTTGTGCAAGGCCTATATTTCGTACAGCTCAGCGCCGCTATCGACTGGTCAGCTGATGTGGGCCAAACATGCTCAAGCTCTCTCGACCAGATATCATGTAGAGCGCCCCCTCTGGGTTTGCTTGCGTTATCTTTCAAGATGGCGGCGCCCAGTGAGTTTTTTGCAGTCATTGAAATCTTGGTTTCTCCACCATCTAAATCTATGGGTAAGTGATAGAGTACGACAAAAGTAAAGTATGTAGCGCATCCATATTTTTTTAACCAAACGTGGGAGGAGACGGTTTTGTTGCTATAATATAAGAACATGGTGAGTCATACCCCCATGCTTTCGTGAGCGTTCGACGTCCGATACGGAGAGCGACCTGTATAACAGTATACATGCAATGACACGTATGAAGCCAAACCACGGTTCACAACCATGCACAATGCATGACATCTAGATGCTCAACCAACCATAAAAACTTCACATGTGAAATTAGGCTCCAATAACAGTCGGGCTTTATTTTCCTTTAAAAAAAAACCTCCCTCCCCACAATTCCGACCCGTGATTCGAACCCACACCCCATGCATCACAAACCATTATGCCGTAACCGCTTGACTACCGCAATTCACACAAATTGATAGTGTTTTTACTGTTGATATACTGATGAAAGGCTGCAACGCGAGTCTAATACACATTGGGCATGCGCAATACAAACACAACCATCGTGGTTTGGCTTCATACGTGTGGTTGCATATATATCTTGATGCGGACGTACGCACGTCACGTGGCATGCGTGGCGGAGGCATGGTAGGTGAATCAGGCATGTGAGTTTAATCCTAACGTGCCCAACGTTAGTGGCTCACAGTTTGGGGAGTATGTACGTATATGACCTGTACTGTAGGCCTTGCTCTACTAAGTGGAGCGTAAGCGTTAGTAAAAAGTATTCCTCTTTTTCGATTTTTGGGATCAGTCATAGGCCTACTTACTAACGCTCCATGACATTACACGTAGGCCTACATTTAGTAAAGTGACAATGGTGCGCTAAAATTCCAAACTCTCAACAAAAATACCTTTATCACCACCTACTGCCTTTCTTAAAATGCCGAAAGCAAAATTCTGGGGCTTGAGTGGTAGCCGATTCCCGATTTCAAAATGTGTTTGTGCGGTTTCATTTTTGAGAACCTTTGTCACTTTACTATATGTAATGTCGTGAAGCATTGGTGTGACCAATCCAGTCCAAAATTCGAAAAAGTGGAATATTAATGCTCCACTGAGTAGAGCTACTGTAGGCCTGTGCCATGTACATGTACGTACATGATAGGCCTAGGCCTACATGTATGTTGTAACTTACATAGGTCTAGCTAGGCTATGGCCAAGGACATGATCATGTGTACTGTGAAATAAAGATGAATGACTGACTCAATCATGATTGTAGCCCAACCATGGCGTCAGATCAAGTAATGGTACAACTACGACAGTCGACATGCTGCGCAGCATTGCAGTCATTGGTAATACACATCATGCGCATTGAATATCACTACTGAGAAGGCCTGTTGAATTTACAGGATTGTCCACACATGGAACTCTTTCCGATCCCATTAATTTTTCCCTGCAGTGACCTCTTAGCCACCTGAAAGCAATGGAATGTGAAAAAACAAAAGAAAACAAATGAAGCAGTGAAAATATTTTGGAGATAATCCCTTCAGGCCTTGAATTTGGTAATTTTTAGGGCAAGGTCATTAACCCTAAGCCCCAAGGGTTATGTAAAATCATATTGACATCAGAGGATTTGGGACTGTTAGAGTTAAGCAAAATCATAGAGGAAATCATGGCCATTTAGGAGGGTACAAAGGCCAGATAAAATAACAGGGGCATGGAGGCTAAATGCCAATGTTCATTCATCAAAAACTTTTAACAATCAGAACATGCATATGTGTACACCGCGCCCATGCACACCTGATACATGGACCTCAATGTGAATTATGTATCACACATATAAGCATTGAGAAAGAGAAAGTCAGGCAACTCTGTATGTTAAATCTGCCGCACGTACTCCTGCTGGAATGTGAGTGTACGAATAGAGGCATTTACATGTAGTTTTGCAGCGGGGTTGTCGCTGCTTGAAGTATCGGCACATTCTGGACCTGCGTTTCATGTATAGAGGTGTACTGTACACTGCATGCTTCGGGCAGACGTATATGATGTACCTTCAGTGCATGCTGGGAATTGATATCGAAGCCTGTATGCATTGCATCAATTCTGTGAGATTTTAAGACAGCCGATCAGGGCTGCATGACACTGAAATACCCTTTAATGATTTTGCAAGCATCTCAAACCAAGGATTTTTGTGCTTTTAACAGGCTTATGGATGTTTGTGGAAAAGGGCTTGATGGCCAAGGTACACGTATAGGGCCAAGCAAAACTGGCCGTGAGGACAGAGTTTTTTGTGGGGTACCTCGGCCAGTGAGAAGGGCAACGACGGTACTGGCCGTCGTGGCCATCATTCATTTCGAGGCCTACATGTATCACTTAGAGAACATTTTGAATTTTTCAGACCAATGTTACTTGGTTTGTACTTGGGGCATCAATCAGCATATATGGAATTCTTTCCCAAATGTTTTAAACATGTTGAATGAATAGAGGACTGGCAGAATGGCACTCACTGAAGACAAGTGTTTATTCCGGTGTGATATGTACAAATAGATTCATTACGATTGAATTTAAATAACAAAACTGCCCTCATGAGGGTGCTCCTTGCAGCTGTGCTGTTTGTCGTAAAGTTTTGGCTTACATTTTACAGTATTCAGAGACGATGAAATCAGTTGACTTCTTTGTTTACACTGTATATGTGAAGAATTTTCACTTTTCACTTTGACTTTATTCATAGATGTACAACTTTTGCAAGAACAGAGAACCAAGGGACCCATTGATGATGCAGCAAGGTTTGACCTTTCCTTGCGGTCAACTCTTAGGAAACTTCATCAAGTGGTTGAGAATGACAAGAGATGTTGCAACCTAGCCGCAACTTTAGGAGCTGTATTCAGTGACTGGAAATGTAGACTAAGGGCGCAGGAGGATGTACGGTGGTTGTACGTAGAACATTGTCTCGGTTTGCTCAAAGGCTTGAAACATGCTGTCTGTGTCCAGATGAAAATTTTCCTCGAGGAGCAAACTCAAAAGCGGTGCAATCCTCAAAAGCTTGGACCAGATGCAGTCCCTCCACTGTCCCCTGATACGTTCAGCATCGGACAGCAAAAGAATCTAACAACCCTCCTCCAGTTCATAGTTTGCCTCGGTCTTGTGTCAAATCTGCAGCGTGGTGTAGGAATTCCCATCGAGAAGCGCTCTGGATTTGGACAGTTGCTGGCTGGGAGACAGTCAGTCCCCAGCAGTGATAAACTGAAACATGTTATGAACATACTCCTGGAGTGTGTTGAGCAGCCGTCACTAGGAGGGCTGATCCTGACAAGACATCTTGGGGACCTCTTGGCAGCTCTACTGCAGATATGTTACTCCAGTGTCTCATCTTCCAGTCAAACCCAGAATCAACTAAGAAATGAAGATCAGAAGGGGAAGGAAGTTACTCCTGGCATTGAGGTTTCAGATGAAGTTGCCTTAAAATGCAGCAGTGTTGAGTCCGGTGATGTAGACAAGTCCACAGATAAAAAATCGCTTGCAAAGTCTGAGATACCATTGTATGACAATCCTGGTTCAATTGGCTTCAGGTCCACAGCTGATTCTGAGCCTGGACGGACACTGGAAGTAGAGAATAATAGCTCAGGGGCAAGCTGTCTTGATGGGAGTAACATCTCAAGACAGGAATCACCCACAGATAACTCTGCAATTGTAGAAGATTCAGCCAGAGCATTCATCCAAGATGAAGCTATGAATCTGGACAGAGGCCTGAAATATCCAGGGACAGAGACACAAACAACTCACCCCGAGGAACTTGAGTTCTTCCAATCCCAGTTGAAGCGCCTTCTCCAGAAGGCCTTCCAGCCTATGGTGATCAGGGAGCTTCTCTTCCTTCAAGGGGGCCCCGGCTCTCAGAGGACTCGAGACTCTCTGAAGGGAAATGCAAAGAGTGGATCTAAGGGCAGACAGAATCCCCTGCCGAGGGCACCAGCGTGGCTTAAGAAGGAATGTGGGAGGCTATTGTCGGAGCGTCTGATGCAACCCAAGGGAATTCAGTCTGCTCTTCGTGGACTACTTGATATCGGAGGTAAAACTCTCAGAGGGAGAACCATTTATAGCCTGAACCAGGCAATGCATGCTACAAAGATCCTTCAAATCCACCAGGACATGGAGGATTTTTCAAGACTTGACAGCTAAAGTACAGTGATGTACCATTTGGTTTCTGTGCATTGGGGAATCCTGCAGGATTTTAAAAGCTTTCTGTGCAAAAATCCCTAGGGAGGGAATTAAGGTTAATGAACATATTTTGGATTTTATGTGTTAATGTGTTTTCACTGTCATAAAACCAAACACTGAGATAGAGTTGATCATAAACTAGGGAGAAATTGTCATTTCTCAACTTGTTCTGTCGCTGATTTCAAAGTCTAAAAAGTCTAGAAGGGACTGGTAACCAGTCTAGTTGGAGGTCGCTCAAGCCACATCCAAGTTACTTGGGCTCTGGCTAGAAATAACACAGATTTATAGATGAAAGCCAGCAGCCGCTGGCGTCATGTATTTTCCATAAACACGTGCTGTCAGTAACCATAACCAAGTGCTTTGGATGGGGCTAGCCATGGTGAGGTAAAAACTGAACTAACACTAGATTTAATAAATTGTGAAAATCATTAACTCAAGTCACACACCGATTCCTCTTTTACATACAATCCTTCATCATCGTTCATTCCCTGTAGGAGGGACGACGGAATCACCTGCTGCTTCCACACCAGACTGGAGGAAGTGTGATGCTGTGGCACGTGTCATTACAGACTGCCCACTGCAGGGTAACACGATGGAGAGATACTACCAGTTAGTCTGCCCACAGGTGATTCAAGAAATTATTATGTACGATTATAGTGGGACGTGCATTAAAAGGTTACTTTCAAAAGTGCCTGAAGTAGCAGTATTTGCAGTGAACAATTTGGTGTTCTTGAATTATGCTGTATGACGTGGAGGTGTTAACCACTTGTTGCCGGGGTTCCCGGTACCGAAGACCTTGGATTTGTACACATAGCCGGGGGTGCCCAAAATCAGATTATCAGTGGGGACAAAAGTGCTCCAGCACTCCAGCGATACAGTACCACTGCACGCTATTCTGGGCGCGTTTGAAAAGACACCACTGCCATTCAGCAACGCACTGGGCCAATTTCGGGAACCAAGGAAATTACGCAACACCGCACAATTGTGGGCTGTCTTTACTGGGCGGCAGGCCAGGTTGCAATACCCGGGTGTCAATGGAGGTTGCCTGTCAGATTAGAGTAGCCACCAGACAGTCATTCTTTTGGGTGTAAGCGTCCAGTGAATGAAGTTATGAATTTTTGAAGAATTTTGAAATTGAAAATTTTGAAAATCGCCCGAAAACCCGTCCTGGATATGGAAATTCCACCAGGCAGGAAGTGGTTAAGCTGGGGCTTTACAGTGAAGAGCAATGAGTGTGGTTATAACTTATGTAAACCATTTTCAGATCACCCATTTGATAAAAATTGCCTTGGAGGTGTATCATCTGGATAAACTATAATCTCAAAGGAATGATCCAGTTCAGTATTCAAACAGTACGTGCCAAAAATGAAGTGTGAGGTCATTTGCAAATAGAAATATGCTCATGTGAGGTGTACTCCACTAGCATGGCCATGTGCCAACTCATGGTACTCTTTGATCTCCAATAACTTTGCCTTTTTGAAATGCCAAACTTGCTCGTTAAGACTGTTGCCATGTCAGCAATTACCGCACTTACAGTCTGCGTTATCTTCAGCACTTCTGCAACCTTACTGAGATAAAGGCATGATAGAAGGGATCCTGTATCCTGCAGTGACTTTAGACTGCATCCAACTATCATCTGCTCCCAGATTCTCGAGTTGCTGCACTTCCAAGAGCAGGCACTGCTGAAGCAGGTGCTCCGTGTTACTAGCAGCTGCATCATTGCCATGACAACACAGCATCCTCAGCTGGCTAGCCTCCATCTGATTGACCCTTTGGTAGAGCCTCTACAAACTATGCTGCACGAGAGGGGTTAGTTGGTTTGTGCCCAAGTGACTTTCTGATATTGACCCCCTCCCCCAGAAGGAGAGAGGGATTATTCAGTACCCAGATTTAAATACTCCATCCCAAGTGAAAACCTTTGGAAATCTAAGTACATACCCATTCACCTTGTCAGCTGTTTTTTAATAAGAAAAATTCTGCAACCCATGAAAAATTCCAGGCATGCTTCTGAATGTAATTGTATTGTATTAAATGTTTGTGCCATAGATGCTCTAGAAAAGCATCCAGCTCACAATGTCATGATCATATCAGGAGAAGGCGAACTTTAATCGTCGTAATATTTTGGTGCTGAACTGCAGATGGCTGTGATTTTGCAATGTGTAACATTTTGATGTGAGAATGAAAGAATGCTTGTTTTCAAGTGACTCAGTTAATTCGCATGAACAAAAATGACAAGAATGTTGACCATAGTGACATTGTTGTGTTTGTGTTTAGTTGAGTCTGTGCCAGACACCGGTTCATCCTTGCTAGTGGAGGAGGCCGCTTTGTCTCAATGCATTGGGGATATCCATCATGTGTTTACCAGCTCTCTCGGGTCTGGTTCCTGTCTCCTAGAGACGTTGCAGACTGTCCTGCATCCATTATTTGAGCTTCTTTGCTTTGCAAAACAAGGTGTCTGCAACCTCAGGTACTTTTTTCTTTTGAAGCTTAAATTTGGCCCAAGCCGGAAAACTTTCAAGTTTCAGTTATTAGTGCTATTACCTGGATAATGCTTCTATTTTTGAGAATGCTAATCTTAGTTAAAAACTAAAATTTAGAACTGCTTTACACTCTTTCTGATACATTTAGAATACATATGCTTAACACTTATTTTGTCGGATCTGGTCGCGATTTTCCTGTAAGAATTATGTATTCAGCATGTTCTTGTGTTGAAATTAGGTTTCACAGGTTTCACAACACAACTGGTGAACATAAATTTGGTACTTCCTGCTATTGTTAAAGGAATCTGTGGCCATTTTTCCTATTCAAAGTCGCAGTGAACTGAAGACGTGTCCCTGCACTCAAGTTGTTCCCGGTACTTTCAAATTGCTCCAACTAAAACGCCCTTTCAGTCCACTGTAGTGGCTGGAATCCACAATTCCTATTGCATCAAATGTTACAGATATACCCTATCTTATTTATCTGAGGGTGAATACAGACGATTCACAATACAGCACGCCACCAAGAGTTTGTCGCGCACAGGCCATTATTTAAGCTTACTGTCCACATGCTGCCTCGATTAAGTGCACTTTGTATGTAATTTGGGGATATTTGATTGATTCAGGCATTCCCTGCACCACACAAAACCTTCATTTTGACTACCTAACACCCAACTACAATAAGCTATTTCGAATTTTTAACCAAGATAAACAAACAGTCGAAAAAATTAGAGTTTTCTGCGCACAGAGCAGTTAGCAAATGAGACTTTGTTGACTATTTATCCCATGATGCACTGCAAAAAGGCCTTTCCAGGACAACCTCATGGTAGGGCACTGCATTGTGAATCGCCCATATTGCTGAATTTGCCTAGATTTTCTCCTCCAACCTTTACCTAGGGGTGCTCTTGAAGACATTGTTCTGACATTCTTTCGGTACTCCGACAAGCAAGTGGCCTTGAAGTATCTTGAGCATGTGGCTTTCCTAGGTCATGACGTCTCCCTCAAGAGAATGCACATGGGCATCAAGTTTGCTCCCGGCTCAAACGGAGGTGCAGTAGCCATGATCAGACCCAAAATCAGGCAAGGAAGCAGCTTGAAATTCATAATCTTCCATTTGATCTTGCAGCTAAATGCTCCATTTAGAATTCAGCATGTTTCTTATGGGAGCAAGCACAGGTCTTGGTTTTTACAAGCTAAACTCAGAGTCTGCTCAAGTTTACAAGCACCCTGACAAACTTATCTTATGAACCTTGCGCTACTAGGCTTGCCAACAAAAATGCATAAATGATGGTCCCTTAAGACCAGCGTGTATCCTAAACCACACAAGGCAATATATCATTGAACATTCCAGTGTTCCACCGTGAGAATAGTAATCTTTGTGCATTGTTTCTTCGAAGTTTATGATCAGAAAAAAATCCCTTGTTTCATGCTTTGGATCCCTTGAAGTAGATAATTTAAAACAAAATCATGGCTGATATAATGGAGGTTTCTGAACTTTGTAGAGCTGTAGTTTCATTTCCTCGGTTATTTTTTCCTCATGATGAGATGAAACCTTCTCAGAATTGTCTCTGTTCTCTTCAGTAACGTATACTCATGTAGCATAACTCGATAACAGATTGGGCACGATTTCATATCCTGTATATGTTTCTATACAGTACTGACGAGCTTTTTGCTGAAGGTCTGCTGTCCCAGGAACAGAGAGCAGAAACTGTGCTGGAGTTATTGCAGAAAGTGGAGGGACTAGCCGGAGATTTCTTCATAATTGTCTTGAAGGTCAGCGTCAGAGAGATGTCACTTACATCCAAACATACTGGTCCTTTTTACCAATTCTGAGCATGCGCACATTGTTCTGAGCATGCGCGCATTCTTCTGAGCATGAGCAATACTGTGAAAAAGGACCAGTTTGTCTGCTGCTAGCAGCGTCTCAAAGTCTCCCAATTAATTCCAAATATCCCAGGTCAGTTCAGTTCCACAAGGAGGGTTTGGAGGACTTCACAGAATGGAGGAAGGTCCAACCAGCTAATCCTAGTTCTGAATCCCCTACACCAGCATAAATCTGGCAATCTGATGACAAAACAAAGCACGCTGTTTGAAACGTGGAGTTGAAACAACTGATTTTTCTCAAAACCACACAATTCAATAGACCTTAATTATTATGATGTAACACAATGTTTACCATAGTGCATTGTGGGTGAAAGGCGCAGACGACAACACGCACTGTTATTAGAAATCACGTGCCTGGAAAAATTGTCAAAAATCTCCTGAGATTGAGAAGACCTATATTTTCCAAAATGGTTTGTGTTAACTGTTGTGTGCCATTGTGTGTGTCAAGCACATGATGCCAGACCTGCATTTTTTCAAGCTTTTACGAGACCACAAGTTTGCTCCGTCTAAAGTCTTGTGAAGGCTCGCATGACTGATGATCATATCCGCCATGGTTGATTTCTTTCCCCACTTTTCACCCACAATGCACCGCAGTAAAAATTGTGTTACGTCGTTATGTTTTAGGTCTATAGAGGTTAATTTCCATGGTCCAACTGGAAACCTTCCATACTTTGTGAGATTTAAAAAAAAAATTCTCCAACCCTAATTTTTTTGACTTTCAACTTGTTACATTTCTTTTGTTCTTGTGGGATCAGAAACTCAATTGAGTAACTCGGCTCTACAATATGTTCCTTATATTTAAAGCCAAAATTTGTCATGGTCTTCAACATTCCATCTAATTTTTATGTGTCATTTCCCCAACATTCCAGGAATTAACATCCATCACTTCATCAGAGATGACTACCCCAAGTCCTCATCTGTCAGACCCCTCTCGTACCCTCTTGGACATAGAAGAGGGGCAGAACTCTCAGGTTATCCGCCTACAGCACTCCCTCCAAGTCCTGGCCGTCTTGTCCAAGCTCTGCCAAGACCTGGGGCCAGGGGTGCTTGAGAACACGGCCCAGATGCTCGCGTTCGCCCGGGCCACGCTTGACCGCGCAGCCTCATCCTTGGATGTCGAGGGCCACACATTTGACGTCTTTGAAACCGAGACTTTGACGCTGGTCTTTGGATTGGTCTCTGCCATACTCAGTGGAGATCTAGAGGTACACAACAATGTGTCTTCAGTAACCTTATCCCTGTCTTTTACTACAAAACACCACACAGTGTTGTTTGTTGTCCTTCTTACAACCACACATACTTTTTACGATAGTTATTGTAGGGAACAGAACTATGTGGGACACACTTAAAGTCCCTCTCACTCAATCTGAATTTTCTCCACCACTTCATCTCAGCTAGGGGTTTGATCCATTGACACAGTATAATGCAATTTAGTATATTGGCACCTGCAGCACAGGTGCTAATATTTGGACAGGTATTAGCACCTGTAATGCAGGTGCTAATGGGTTGGCACCTGTTTACCATAGGAGTAGGATCATGTTTAAAACATTAACCTACAGTCATTGGTAATAATGTGTTTTTATCAACTTTTAAACAGAAAAAGGTCACATCAGAACACAGGCAAGCCCTGATGGACCTCCTTCCATCACTGGAGAGAATATCTAATGAACACCCCGTGGAGCCACTCCAGAGAACAGCAACTGACCTGCGCATTGCCATAGCAACCCACGGTGCGGTGTGGGCAGAGTCCATGAAGGAGGCCACTGAGAAACTGAGATCATCAAGGACATTTGAGGAGACTGCAACCAATATGTTAAAAGAGAGGAGTAAAACGGCAGATGAAAGGCGCGAGGCGTCATGTGGGAGAAGCATGCAGAATCAGCCAGAAGATGCTGATGTTGTTGCCAAGGCAACTGTAGATGTTGATGCCTACAAAGTTGCTGGTGCATCTCAACCTGTGGACCAGCCAACACCACATGACCCTCAATCCTCCAAAGCAGCAACCCAACAAACCTCGTCCAACGTTCAGGGAGACGATGACACACCCCTCAGCAAGGACTTTGACGAAGCATTCCAAGATCTCTTTGATCCCCTCTTGCCCACCAGGGGCCATGCCCTGAGAGCTCTTGGCAAACTCTTGTTGGCCGGAGACCCCAAGGCCATACAGAAACAGGAGATGCTGGTGGGAATCTTTGAGGAAAATCTCAGCCATGAGGATTCTTACATCTATCTGTCTGCCATTCAGGTTAGCTCCCAGCTTAATTGTTCCTAAAACAGAAGTACATTTACATTTTCAGTAGTATGATACAGCAGAAAATAAGCATTTTATTGATAAAATAAACTTGTATTCGGTTGGAAAATGTTGATTTTCTCAAGAAGCCATGACACTATTTCCTTTCAGGGTAGGAGAGGAAGCATTTATTCAAATAGAAAAGTATCCACTGCAGTACACGTTTGTCTTCTGTGTGCACATCTAGTTCAGTGTTTTTGGTGAGACCAATACAAGACCAGACACAA